GGAGTTTGTGTCCAAAAGAATTCATATTCATTTCATTTTATTGTTTAGCACAATTCTCCACATTTGAGTTGAAAATGCTTGTATTGAATGATTTACATTTTTATTTCAAAACTTTTATCTTCTATTTCAATATAGAGAAAATCGACATTGTACATTCGCACAGTGCACACCCCTATCTGTTACATCTTAATTAAATCCAATTAATTTCAATTTATTTTTTTAAAAGTACTAGAGATACTGAAACCAAAATTTATAGTCATTCTGAGTCTCTGACAAGTCAGAATATAAAATGGTTAAAAAGACAAAGTTGAATGTCACAAAAACTTTGAACTGGCAACTACACGACAAAAAAACAAACAGAAAATTAAGTTATCCTTGATGAAATTACCCATGTGCTTTTATCCGCTTATGATTACTCCATTACAATTTAAAATAAATTCACAAGATATGAATTTGATTTTACTTTGACCACTAATATATTAGATTGTTTGATTTTTGCACAATATTTTTGGAAGCTAAGTAAGGAGAAAAAAAAAAAAAAAAAAGAAGCTACGTAGTTAACACGCCCAGCTGAACACTAATTAAGTGCGAAACGAGCACAAAAGCAATAGCTTTTTGCCTTTTCTCCTTCTTGCTGGACTCACAAAAAACTTGATTTTGCATGAGGTCATCACCATTCTCTCTCCAAGACTCTCCCTCCTCCATATAGATTAAAAAACTGCAAAAATCTCTCCAAAATTCATAGATAGAGATGTTCTTAAGATTATAAACATTTGGAGACTCGTAAGTTATTTTCAATGTCATTTTACTTTTATGTTCTCTAGTATTTTTCTTTAAAAAAAAGTATTTTGTAAAACAAAAAGTAGTTTTCCTTAATTTTTTTTTTTTAAATGAAATATGCAGTGCAAAGCACTAAAAAAAACAGTATTTACTTCAAGTCAAATCGGTTAAAAATTGTTGGGATCAAATTTAGTAAACCCATTAAAATTGGATTGAAATTTTTGAGCCACTCATTTAACTGGAATAAATAAATGAAAATAGAAAGAGATGATACATTTAATGTGGATTGCATGAGTGGTATGGAATTAATCTTCTAATTAAGTTTGAACTACAAATTTAAGAGCCTTTTATCGTTCACGGTTCTTGTTTGAAGACTAATAAAAGAGGGATAACTGTGTTTAGTTTGTCACATATATGAAGTTTGGGAACAATGTAAGACACTTGAGGAAAGACACATCCTGCGATTTATCGCTCTTTTACCGATCTTCATGACATGAGCCGGTAAGGGACTCTTAAATTGTTGGGACCAAATTTTTTGAAAGCAACAGATTAAACTGCATTAATGAAGAAATAACGGAATAGAATCCGGAATACATCGGGCTAGCATGATCTAAGGTTGCTGAAGCTAAATAATGAGCGTGTAAATTAAAAGTTCTAGGCACTAAACTAATAGAACAAACTATAAAAATAGACATAGTCTCCTTACATTGATCCAAAATTGAACCAACATAAGATAAAATCGAAGTATGATCCTGAAGTAAAGAGCTGTGGAGTTCTGAACAATCTGTGACCAGGTCCACAGATAACACCTAACGATCCTTAAGCCACGATAAAACTTCCTTACAAGCCATTGTTGGGATCAAATTTAGTAAACCCATTAAAATTGGATTTAGATTTTTGACCCACTCATTTAATTGCAACAAATAAATGAAAATAGAAAAAGATGATACATTTAATGTGAATTGCATGAGTCCTATGGATTTAATCTTGTAATTAAGTTTGAACCCCAAATTTAAGAGTCTTTTATCATTCACGGCTCTTGTCTTGAAAATCAGTAAAAGCGGGACAATTGTGTTCAGTTTGCCACATGAGTGAAGTTTGGAAACAGTTAAAACACTTGAGAAAAGACACATCCTGCGATTTATCCATCTTTTACCGGTTTTCAAGACATGAGCCGTGAACGATAAAGGACTTTTAAATTTGGGGTTGAAACTTAATTACAAGATTAAATCTATATCGTTCACCCCAAATTTAAGAGTGTTTTATCGTTGCGGCGGTTAGTAAAACAAAACTTATAAACTTGCTTTAAGTTGAATTAACCCGTTGAACTGTGTTCGGGTTATTTAACCTATTAATTATTTGTATGTAATTTTAGTCACAATTTTTTTTAAAAATAAAACTCTAATATTAGAGATTGTATCTACTATAATAACAATTCAAGAACAAATTCTACACCACATCTACAACACAACGGCATGTGGCAATCAAGAGATGCGGTACGTTTACTACTTAGAGAAATTTTGTATCTTATGAAATAAAAAAATGAGAACAGGGAATTTAAGAAATAAGTTCAAAAGTAGAAAAACAGAAGAAAAAAAAAAAGTAAACACAATTCATTTTTCTATGAAATAATTTTGCTTATGAAAAAAAATAAATAAATTACAGGTCCACAGGATGACAGGGCTACAGGAGTATATAATATAAAAAATAAAAATTCAATCATATCAAACCCTTTTACACGTGTCTCGTATTTCAGGTCTTGATTAGACGCCATTTCCCAGTCATTACCACTAGGTGATTTTACGTTTCTACCCTCTGCTTCAGAGTTTATTCCTTCTCCAACCTTGCCCTTATAATGGCCTTCTCCTCCCTCAGTCTCCGCCATCTCTCCTCTCATCTTCTTCTTCCTCTTGCCGGAATATTCTTCCACCGACGTCTCCTCTCCTCTTCCCTTTAATTTCCCTTTTTTGTTGTCAATTAGGCCCCAATTACCTCTAAAGATTCAATCTTTACACAGAATCTGCGAAAAAGAGCTGGTTTTGGGGGGGTTATGTGTTCAAATTTGCAGATCTGAAATCTGGTTTCGAAATTTCCTTTCTGGGTTTTTGGGATTTGTTCGGAAAATTAAAGCTTCGTGGGTTATTATATATATAGATGTCGACGTCTTCCACGTATTGGTGTTACAGTTGCAATAGGTTCGTGAGAGTGGCGAGCCAGGATTCAATCGCGTGCCCCGACTGTGACAGCGGATTTATCGAGGAGGTCGAGACGCCGACGCGATCCTCCTCGCTCTCGGAATCCCGCCGGCGTCGGTTCCCCGCGGCGGCGATGTACACGACGCCGCAGAACTCGGATCAAAATGCCGCGGCCGGGTCGGCGGGTTCCGGATCGAGCCCCGCGCTCAGGAGGAGCCGGAGGAATGGGGGCGACCGGTCTCCGTTTAACCCGGTTATCGTCCTCCGTGGCCCGTCCGATGGCGGCAGCAGCGGTGCCGCCGCCGCCGGCACCGCTGGTGGAGTCGGGTTTCAGCTTTATTATGACGATGGAGCCGGGTCGGGTTTACGGCCTTTACCGGCTACTATGTCGGAGTTTCTACTCGGGTCGGGTTTCGACCGGCTTTTGGATCAGTTAGCGCAGATTGAGGCTAACGGCCTGGGAAGAATAGAGAACCCGCCGGCGTCAAAAGCGGCGATAGAATCAATGCCGACAATCGAGATCGAAGATTCTCACGTAGATACCGAATCTCATTGCGCTGTTTGTAAAGATCCCTTCGAGCTCGGAAACGAGGCTCGCGAAATGCCCTGCAAACACTTATACCATTCCGATTGCATTCTCCCATGGCTATCACTGCGCAATTCCTGCCCCGTCTGTAGATACGAGCTCCCCACGGACACCAGAGACTCCGGCGAACCCAACAGGACATCCCCATCAACCGAGCAAAGCGTAAACGACGACGAAACCGTCGGGCTAACAATCTGGAGATTGCCCGGCGGCGGATTCGCCGTGGGACGGTTTTCCGGCGGGAGAAGGGGCGGGGAGAGAGAGCTCCCCGTCGTGTACACTGAAATGGATGGCGGGTTTAACAGCAATGGCTTGCCGCGGCGGATTTCTTGGGGGTCTAGGGTTAGTGTTTCCCGGCCGAGCAGCCGTTTGAGAAGAGCTTTCCGCAACTTGTTTGCGTGTTTCGGCGGCGTTGCCTCTTCAGGCTCCTCCACCAGCTCTGATTCTAGGGTTACTCACAGTAGTGTATTGCCATCTGCAATCCAGGCTGATTCCAGAAGGCGCAGAGTTTGAGGTTGATGATGATGATGATGATGACAGAGGCTAGAAGAAGAAGAAGAAGAAGAAGAGATTGGTAACCTTTAATGGAGATTGTCAGATTGCAATGTAAATAGCAGTATATACAAGTATGGCTCTCCAATGGTGGATTTACTAGAAATACCCACTAGTTATACTTGGCTTAAAGAGTTAAAGCTCTCCCCTTTTTGCACTCCTTTAGTGTGGAAGGATTTCTTCAAAAATGAAGAATCCATTGCCCAGAATTGGTTCCTGTGAAGAAGAAGAAGGTGCTTGGGTACACGGACACCACAATGCCTCAAGTACCATAGTCTCTTTGAACTTTTCAGTGGCAGCAGTTATCTTCTTTATTTGATTCATTGTAGCTAGCCTTTGCTTGCTTCGTTTTTCAATTGCTTCGACCTCCTAATGGAAAAAAAATTTCTAAAGTTTCATCCCACTTTTGAAGTTTACATCACACTGTGCTTGAATGTTTGATGCCATTTTGTTTCATTCTTTAATGGACATGCCAATGATATTCCACATTATGAGGCCCTGCATAATATAATGCCGGACAGATTGATTTTTAGGCTAAAGAATTGAATTTTCATGGTCATTTTAATCTGATTGTTTTCTCAATGCATCACAAATGTTTCCAGTAGGATACAGATGAGACAAGATTACATCATTGCCTTGGGGTAACCCCAACCAAGTTTTGGTAATCACTATGTTACAAGTTCAACTCCCAGTAGGAGCGGCTTGTTGGCCTTAGCCGGTTAGCCAGTCAGCTATGGGCAACTTAGGCTGGTTTATCTCCTTTCCTGGCTAGCCAGTGAGCTATGGGCAACTTAGGCTGGTTTATCTCCTTTCCTGGCTAGCTATGGGCAACTTAGGCTGGTTTATATCCTTTCCTGGTTAGGGTCACATGGTGCTCGTCACAAAAGAAAAAGAAGACAAAGAAGACGACAACATTAACTCTCCTACTTTTAGCAACCTTAGTGGAATGACAAGTGTGTTGTGAGAAAACTGTTCTGTGTCTGTATTCTTTCTTTATTCAGGACTCGGGATTTATGGATTCTTTTGGAACCTTGTAGCTGCTATTGTATAACATCAATGTGAATGCAATTGCAGACTTTATACTTGCCAGTTTGGGTTATAGGGTTGATTTGAATTACGGGAAACCTGATTACTGGCTGAACCCCATTAAAGTTGCTGCTTTACAATCAAAAGAGAGGATAAGAAAGCTACAAGCTCATTCCCGGCAGGAGCTGGCCAGTTCTACTGTTAGGTAAAGCTTTACTAGTTAACGTATAAGTGCAGCAGCTATATTTGACTACGAGTTTTGTTAGTGTATAGTGACTATAGAGAAGCTTCAAGTTATAGTAACTGCTTTTAGCGTCGTGTTATGTGGGGCCGCCTGCCAAGTTAGGTAGGGGGCGGTGGAAGCTGTTAGTGGCGTGCCCTGTATCCCTGATGGTGTTACAAGATAGTGGTGGTTCCACTGGCGAAACTTTTGTAGGAATCTGAGTTGTATACTAACCGTTCTTGACAGGTTTATGGGGACAGCCTAATCAGCCTTGACCTGGAAAGCTATGCAGCTTAGTTTGCATATCAACGCCAATGCCAGCTTTTGCTTAGCTCACGTAATTGTCTTATGTGCACTTATTATATGGTGATTAGCCACGTTCTCGTTTTTCTCTGTTTTCTTAGGAAGATGAAGATATTGGGTTGGTTCAAGGCTGCCCAGCAGGGACCATGAAGTGGACAGCAGGTTTGAAAGTGGTCCATTTTTTTAGTATTTTGTTTGATTGAAGTGGCAATCAGTGCACAAAGAAAGTAGCAGAAAGATGGTTCATATAATTGGGGTGTACAGGTTTCTTCTTATGGCAGTTGGGGGCATTAAAGATTTGGTGGTTTTCCCTCTTGGCAGATTTGAACATTTGTTGCCTGTTGTAGAAATTTTAGATTTTCTTCAAGTTTAAGGTTTGCAGCTGGTGTTGAATGGTTGTCTGTTGGACTCTGATTTGGTGTGACTCTGTAGGCTTCAGACTTCGGAGTTGAGATATTTGCTGTAATAAATTATGGTCTTAGAACTTAGAAGTTAGACTCTTATTATAAGCATTACTTTTCTTCCCGGTCTGATAGAGCATTTAGGAAGATGTAAATCAGGGTGACTCAATGGCTCAGCAGACATGGTCAAATGTCGGTGTGCATAAGGGATTTGTCTACTTTGAACATAATCTTCACAGTGCCACCGCTGATGTTCGAATCTTAGTTTTTTCTCTCAAATACTGTCTCCTGGACCAGTAAACATTACACTGTCAAATACGTCCCATAATCCAGTTGAGTCCCTTTCAAGGGTGATTCTTCTTCACGGGATGATAATAATTTAGATGAGTTCTGGTTGGTTTATTTTCGGAGGTAGCTCTTTCAAGAACGTTGTTGTATATACGTCTTTTGGGTGGTCCACAAGACTGTTTGTTTCCAAAAATAAAAAATAAAAAATAAAAAATGTTGCATTCACCATAAACAAATGCCAAGGATTGGGAATTTGGTTGGGGGCCAAGTGGACAATTATTACCAAACAACATTTGTGTTTTGCAAAATACAAAATAGAAGCAACTCAAGCCGGTAAAGCTGGATGCAGGAATGAGGTGAGAATAGGTCTATGTTTACAAGACCGCAAAACACTCCAAACCCATGTCCTTTTCTTGGTCTATGATGTCAGGTGAAGAAGAAAACACAGTTGCTATAAAAAAAGTGTGTACTAAATAAATTCAGCAATTTAAATCTCGTGACTCCGTGTGGTGAGCTTGATCTCGTGACTCCGTGTGGTGAGCTTGATCTCGTGACCCCGTGTAGTGAGTTTGATCAAGAGGGTGTTAACAATAATTGAATTTGTGATCTTTTTACGTATGAGAATCATATTACGACATATATGTATCTGGTACGGTCAATGTACCTCACTTCTCTTTCTTTTGGTCGATTATTGACCAAATAATGTTATATTTAATGATATAACGATTGATGCTCTATTTTTCTTATTTGATGTATCTAATTCAAATAATAAGAAACTTATGATTACAAAATTTGTTTTGAAAAAATTACTCCAAAAATATTATAAGAAAATTTGATCAACATCATTAACATTAACAAGAATATAAGGTGCAACGTAAATGTTAGTGTTGGGTATTTTGGTATATGAAATAATTTGTCTGCCGGTCTGTCCCACCTAATTTGTGCGGTGGATCTAGCCTTGATTTTCGACCACGATTCACCCCAATAACATTTTTCTTTTTTCCTTTTTCTTTTTCATGTTCGTTTTTTTTTTTTTTTTTTTACCACAAACAATGAATATTTAATTAATCAACTTTAATTTTAAAAAAATTTAAAAATTGTCATTTTCGTTATAATTGGACAATTCTCATGGGTGATGGGTCCAATTACGCAAATTATGGTATCCGACAAGTAACATGCCGATCCTTTAGGTTTGGACTTTTTTTTTTTTTTTTCTTTTTAATATACAATGAATATAAGAAAATTTTAGAAATTATACCGATTGTGGTTATGTCACACCAATTAAGTTTGCAAGAAGTAAAGGTTGAATCCTGCTAGGCAAAAACAATCCAGCTAAGTTAGCCGTATAGTTAGTCGGATAACTATAAAGTTCTATGTTTGACTCTATGTAGAAGTCGTTTATTGATCTTCTTATTTTAACCGGTCAACTATGGACAACTTACACTGAAAGTGAACTTCACCTATAATGTGTACTTGGCACCTTAGTTTCCAAGCTCCAGTTGAGTGTCCTTTGTCCCATCATATTATATTAACATAAGATTCGAACATTGTACTCAACAAATCAAAACTTATGAAATTATTTTAAATTGATTGATCAGTTGAGTTGTACTCGAGCAGAAGTAAAATAGCAACACCTAGTACTTGGGTAAGGACCTTTAGCAACTACATCAGTGGTTTTTTCTTGGTTTTTGTGTGGGCCAAATATGATGTGGAGGAAAGAGAGTATAGGATAGAGAAAATTGAGACCCTCTTGCAAGAGGTGATTTTTTGTGGGGTCTACATGGTGAGAGAAATAAGCAAAGTTCCGTGCACTAAAGAGCATCCTCAATAGTTAGTTTTTTGCACAAGTTTTTAGGAGCAAGTAAGAAGGAGAAGGTAGGGAAAAAATAAAATTAAAAAAAAAAAAAAACAAGAAAAATGAGTTTTCAAGAAAAAAATCGGAATGTTAACGCTTCCAGCAAGTGCGTGTAGTGCACACACCCGGTTGGGCACTTCTAGTGCGCACTAGGGAGGAGTTTTGTGTGTGTGTGTGTGTGGAGCCCACTCAGAAGACAAAACAGATCTTTATCTTAAGACTCAAAACATTATCTCTCTCATCCTTCTTTCTTCCACATAAGATTAGATCTCCTCGAAAACACCCCAAAATCTCTATTAGGATGCTCTTATGCACCCAGCGTGGTGTGTGATTCTTGCTTTTTTTTTAAAAAAAAAAATTGTTAAATTTTTTTTCTCCCCTTCCCTCTTCCTTCTTTCTCCTACTTGAACTTGCAAAAAACAAGAAAAAACCTTAACTAATGAAGTGGCTCTGTTTAAAATAAAAAGGGAAAAGGGTCAAATAAGCCCTCCAACTATTGCTAAGAAGTCAATTAGGCCCTCCAACTATTTTAAGAAGCAATTACACCCCTAAACAATGTATTTTGATGCAAAGAAGTCCAAATACAGGTAAATGACCTGCTATCCCAGGTCATCGCAAATCCGGCGACACTCCGACGTATTTTCCGGCGAAAAAGTCAGTCGCCGGTCACGGAGACCCCTCCCGGAGAAGGCAACCCAGAAATCTGGGTTGCCTTCTCCGGTCCTCGACCAGTGAAGGCAACCCAGATTTCTGGGTTGCCCGCTCCGGTCGAGAAGGCCACCACAGTGGTGGCCTTCTCCGGCGAGAAGGCCACCACTGTGGTGGCCTTCTCGACCGGAGAAGCAACCCAGATCTGGGTTGCCTTCTCCGGCCCCCATTGTGGTGGCCTTCTCGCCGGAGAAGGCCACCACTGTGGTGGCCTTCTCGACCGGAGTGGGCAACCCAGAAATCTGGGTTGCCTTCTCTAGTCGAGGACCGGAGAAGGCAACCCAAATTTCTGGGTTGCCTTCTCCGGGAGGGGTCTCCGTGACCGGCGACCGTTCGCCGGTCACTTTTTCGCCGGAAAATACGTCGGAGTGTCGCCGGATTTGCGATGACCTGGGATAGCAGGTCATTTACCTGTATTTGGACTTCTTTGCTTCAAAATACATTGTTTAAGGGTGTAATTGCTTCTTAAAATAGTTGGAAGGCCTAATTGACTTCTTAGCAATAGTTGGAGGGCTTATTTGACCCTTTTCCCAAATAAAAAATAAAAAATGAGGTGGCTCTAACCCAGGCTTGCATCAAAGAATGGAACGTTGTCGTTTAAGAGTGCGAGCTCCCGGCAAGCACGGTATTGCGTTATACGGTTGTAACAGTTATCCGTTTTAGTCAAAGTAACCGAAAAAAACTTGTCGGGTCGAAATCCATGGCGTCTTTACTCTTTACCTAATTTGAGTACAAACCCGGTGCCGCCGAGTCAACCGTTTCTCTTCGCATTCCAATTTCCTAACTCGGTCGCTCCACTCACCCAACAAATTTCCCCATCGCATTTCCTTTTTTCTCTCATCAATTTGCCTCACTGCAACTCTGTAAGTCTTCGATCTCCAGCTTCGCTTCTCCGTTCTCGTGAATTCGCGCGTTTATATATTTACGCCATTCGTATACGCTAATACGCTTGTTTGTATTCAATTAAGTGTTTTTTTTTTTTTTTTTTTTTGTTCTAATTATGCACTTGATATCGTGATATTAAATTATATGCGTTTATTTATGTATATGTGAATCTGTTCTGTTACGGTTTTCGTTGCCAAGCGTTAGGTTTAGCTCAATTTTTGGGTGATTCTCTGAGTTGAGACCAAATGCCATCCTTTTCCAGTTTTCCTGAGAAGTTTTTTGCTGTGAACTGAGGAAAAAGTTTCTGTTAGTCCGGAAACTGGAGTCATAGAAGCTTTTTGTTGTGATTTATTATACAGCAGAAATAGTAATTTTGGTTGTGTTTATCATGAATATGAGAATATTTGCTGTAGTTACCAGCAGCACTAAGGACTTGCTACAATTTTATGAAACGTGATCTGAACTATAACTTTAGTGATTTTCTAGGCTTTATGTGGACTGAAGTTATTCCAGAGATAGTGATGTGTTCTTGTGTGAAAATCACAGATAGATTTGCTGGGATCTTCTGCTGTTTTTTTTTTTTTTTTTTTGAAAATTTTTATTGGTTCTTATTCTGCTATGAATTTCTGTTTACACAGTTTGTAGATCTGTAAGCTATGAGTTTTGTTTTTCGAGGCACAAGAGGAGATATAGAAACTGGATTTCCAGGCCTGATCCCAGAGCGGCGTACTGTGGTATTCTTCTATTGTAGGCCTTGTTTTTGTGACTGTATATAAGTCTACATCCTTCTGCTTATTTGTTGCCTTAATGCATTGTTATTAACTTGCTCATGTTTTTTTTATCCATCAGCGTGTTCATGCTGCGCGGCCAGTTAATAGCAACTCGCTTGCTTTTCTTGTTACAGGTTCTTTGCTTCAATTTTGTTGACTTTTTCTTGGGATTACCTACAATCTACTTGACATAATTTAAATTTATGTCTTTTTCTTGTCACAGTGCTCTTGATGTTCATGATTCTAAACTCTCATCAATTGTCACCTAACTTTTTGGTTGGTACTATTTTTTTTATATGGAACTTGAATCTAATTTGTTAGACTTTTTCCACATAGAGGACTTTTCATCCTCATATTTCTTACTTTGTTATTGAAAATTCTTTTGTTTTTTTTTTCCCCACTAAAAAGAAAAAGGAACTACAAGAACTCTTGTACTGCGAATATTGCTATCTAAATTCTATTTGCACTTTTGTAGTACTAATTACTTTGAAAAAAATGATTTGCAGCTATGGTTGGTGCTTGGCGTTTTCCTGATGGCAACAACACTCAGGATGTATGCAACCTGTCAACAACTTCAAGCTCAAGCACAGGCTCACGCTGTTGCAGCTAGCGGTCTTCTTGGTCATACTGAGTTACGGCTGCATATGCCCCCATCCATTGCTCTTGCAACCAGAGGACGGTTACAAGGACTCAGGCTCCAGCTTGCACTTCTTGACAGGGAATTCGATGACCTAGGTGTGAATGCCTTTATGCTTTCCATGCAGCTTCTCTTCATTCTGGAAATGTTATACTACATCTGGAAACTTTTGAAGTGGTTCATCATAATTGTTTTGATCGGTGGTTGATCAATGTGTGCTTTTACATCCAGATTATGAGACTCTGAGGGCACTAGATGCTGATAATGTTCCTACAACACCTTCCATGACTGAGGAAGAAATAAATGTTCTTCCTATTCATAAATACAAGGTTTCTAGGCCTCAGAGGTTAGTCTCAATGCTTCCCTTTCTTTTTCTCTTTTGTATACTTGTCAATCATTCATCCAGCTTTTTAGGTATTAATTAATGCATCTTCCCTTTTGTTCTATTTGATATTACTAGTTCTTCAGCACAGCAGGCATCTTCATCCTCAGCAGAGGTTAGTTTCTTTCTATTCCTTTATTCGAGACCCTAGTTATCGTACTTAAAAAGTGTTGTGTTGCTATTATTTACTGCATGCATTTGATTTTCTCAGTTTGAAAAAGTTGTGCATGCCTTTGCTATATCTGGCTGGCACCGGGTAGGATTTTCTGTAGGAGTGATTGTCAAAAGAGAGTTATCTAATGGGTGTTCATGTATATTTCAAGCAGAAGAAGCAAGAACCTGTAAATTCCGCTGCAGTAGCAAAGCCCACAGATGATGGACTTACTTGTAGTGTCTGCTTAGAGCAAGTTAACGAGGGAGAACTTATTCGTAGCTTGCCGTGCTTGCATCAGGTTTGTCTCCAATTTTAAAACGAACCATTCTTGAGTTTGTGTGATGAATAATATAACACCATAAGAATAGTCATATTTCTTGGATTTTTGTTTTGCAGTTTCATGCTAATTGCATTGACCCCTGGCTGAGGCAGCAGGGAACGTGCCCTGTCTGCAAATTTAGGGCTGGGAACGGGCCAGTAGAAATGGAGGATGCCTCCTACTTGCTTAACTTTTAATCAATCTTATGTTTGTTATATTATCATAGGTCCCAGACTCCCAGTCCCGCAGGTACATATGTCCCCTTAGTCAAAGTAGCAATTCCATGGCACTGGATGGATGTCTAGATGTAGTTGCCCTCTGCCAATAGAGCATCAGAAAAGCGTGTTTACCATATTTAGTTATTCGCCAGTATGGTCATGTCACTCCTTTTTGTATACGTATCTTTATCCATTCAAATGAGAAGGGTTTTGATGGAATAATTACAAATGTACTCGGGGCACCGAACGTAACCTGGATGGCCAAGTGCGGTAACCCGGCCGACCCGGATGGCTAAGTCCCGCACTTGGCCACGGGGTCAGCCAAAGCAGGCCACCTGGGCCGAGGTCAGCCCTTGGCCAAGTGCATGGGGTCAGCCAAAGCAGGCCACTTGGGCTGAGGTCAGCCCTTGGCCGAGCTCCGTGCTTGGCTGAGTGACTAGGTCTTCACGTGTCCAAGTCTTGCGGCGTCAATTGCGGTCCAAGGCGGTTGAGAGGACCCCCACCATTTTCTCCGGGGTCTTTTTGGTCGAAATTAAGTATAAAAATACTCATTCCTATCCTATTGAGACATAACTTGTCTTTATTCATAATCTTGTCTTGTTATTACATTACTCAACCTTTATAATAGTGTTACACTTGATTAATACAATTGTCCCCGTGACTTAGCAATATTCCTTCCTTTATTGCACTGCATTCATCATTATCCTATACTTATCACATTCTATAATTTTAGAAAGTTTAATAATTCAGACCCCCGGATTAATTAAATCCATCAGGTTTCTACTAAAAAATTTCCTTTCCTTCGCTGACATTCTCCAGAATTATGTGACAATTAATGATAGTATTAGAAACCATTAATTAAGTTAACAAAGTGCCCAAAGCATAATATTTGAGAAACGTCTGAATTTACCGTTGAAACATAAGGATCAATGTCACGCCGCACTTCAAGTACATCAAAAATGAAAATAGCAACGTCGGTCCATAAACTTCTACTTAGCTTTTCCTTTTCCTTTCCCTTTTTTTGCTTCAAGCTTGGCTTGGATACGGGCGGCAGCTGCTGCCTTAGCTTCTTCTCTCTTCTTCTTCTCCTCCTCCTTGTTTGCAGCTGCAAGTTCCCTCTGTTTCTTTAGCTCCCTGTGATGTATTATAAATGTTAGACTACAAGTTATATTGAAATTTGACACCCTTACAAATAAAACCGATGGCTTGGATATTTGAATGACCAAATAAAATGACTTACTCCAGCCTAGCCTTTTCATCTGAGACACTGCCCAAGCTAGAACCTTTCCTAGGTCGACAAGCCGCTAGTTCCACCTCAAATATAAGTGTTGCACTAGTGCAAAAAAGGTTCAGTATCAGATTTATTTCATTCAAGAAAGAGGAAAATATTTATGATTATAGTATAAAAATCCTAAAAAAGGATGTTTGAAGAGGTTAACAGCTGGGATTCCAGTGGATGACACAACAGAACACCTTGTTTGGAAGGAGACAGTGTTGATGACTAACCAACAAATCCAGTTTTCCTAGTACTGGGCGTAGACCGTAGAGTACTAATTCATCACTATGCTACAAATATTGACAGGACAAATAGCTTACTCCGGAGGAATATCTGGTGGAGAACCTGCACTGCCATAGGCATATTCTGGTTTGCAGGTGATTACAGCTACCTCCCCAACCTGAATGAAGAAACAAAAGAAGAGTCAAGTGCAGTTTGGAAGCTCATCAATAGACATGAAAGTAACTTTTACCTTCATGGTTCTCAGTGCAACATCCCAAGCCTTGATGACAGATCCCTTGCCTATCTCAAACGTGAACACTGTATTGTCCTCACGGGTAGTATCAAATACTTCACCAGTCTCGGCAAGAGTACCTTCATAGTGCACTGTTTTTTGGGGAGAGGGAAGGTTATGGAGTACAAGATTATTATGTGGACATTATAATGAGAAAAACTCATGTTGGATCCATTGCCACAGAAATGCTCTTTCAATTTCATGTCTTAGCGATTGTTTGACACACAACTTATTCAAACTTATCTACTTCATAAAGTATAAGTTGGGCCAACCACTAAAAGATAAAAAGCCTTTTAAAGCTAGATAAGACTGAAAAAGCCCCTTCTTCAAGAAGCTCTAGCTTTGGATGCAGTACTGAATTTAGCCTCATCCAAAGAAGGATTAAGAGATAGCACTTAAGCCTAAACCCTTTGCAGCAGATTCAAGATCTACTGGACATATATATAAGCACTCCATATTCCATATTAACTAAAGAAGATAGCAGAAAAGACAATCTGTAAGGTTATAGGTTTCAGATCCAATAAAAAAAAGATTGTTATCTTGGGATTGAAGCAAACACCGATATACACATATGAATGTTTCTATGTAAAACATACCATCAACAAGAGGAAGACCCTCTGATGGAGCAATAGCATCAGCCTTGGCTCGCCGGACAATTTTTTTCAAAACTCCTCCATCTCCAGTTAAATCAACAGTGTCACCCATAGCTCCTAAACCTTCAACAGCCTACATTCACAAACATAATATCCTATATTACATACCGAAAATATCTAAATGACCACAATTGTTTTTCAATATACACACTCAGCTAATAACCATGCATATCAAGGCTCACGGATGAACATAAAAGGGGCAAAGGGATGTTAAGGATCAATAAACAGACAATATTCTGCCCCAAACACATGATGGCTCATTTCAGTACAATCTCTCAGCTGATATTCTCGTGCTGAAGTTATCCTTCTTACTCAAAGCTTTCATTTAATTGAAGAACTCGTGCTATCGATTTCATTAGCTGACTAAACCAATAAGAAGGCAACGCCATAGAACTAGATCGATCAACAATCATCAACCTCAAAATACATCAATACATACACGAACATAAATGCGAATACAGATTGATTCACTAAACCATTATTCCGCATACACAAACATGTTAATCAAAATTAATTGCAATTACACGCAAGTCGCAACCACTGAATTCCATATACTCGGAGATAAACATGCTCGGAAACAGTAAAATCAAAATACTCAGAGATAAAAATAAACCGAATTAAACTTGAAAATTAAAAATAATTTTAGCTAGGGTTTAAGGGAGTTAGAGAGAATAGATATACCTGAATGGAGAGGACAGTCGTCGATAGGCGGCCGGAGAGAGAGGAGACAGGTAAAGGTAATTAGGAGAAATGGAGGGGTAAAACGGGAAACTTCGGTGGTAGAAGTTGAAATCGTCGGCCATAAGCTTCTCTTTGGATTTACAGTGATGTCTTTCCCCTGGTTCGTTTATACAGAGCAAAATGGCCGAAAAGATTCCCTGTCACTCCACGCGCTGAACGTGGCGCGTTTGGAATCGGAGTCAACGAATCTCTCTAATTAGCTGGCCAAAACCACTCAATTATAATGCTAAATTGTTAATGCCAATGTTCACTTTTTTTTTTTTTTTTTTTTTTTTTGGGGGTGCTAAATTGCTAATGCCAATGTTCACTTAAAATATGAATATCAATTTTTTTAGTAAAAATATAATATATTGTTTTATAAGTCAGTATTACATTTTTAATGAAAATGTAATTTTAGAGGGTAACTTTTTATTCGTCAACAAGCATTATGTGTTCATATAATACTTTTGTGGCTTCCTTTGAAGGAAGATTATAAGATTAGACTGCAATAGTTAGAAAAAATATAGAACATATACTTTCTAATTGTAACACGAGTTAAAAACAATACCACTGTTGTAAATATTTACTCGGTTGAACTTGTTGCACATGATCTTCTTAGCATGATTTAAAAAAAAATCACACAAAAGAAGTAAATATTAAGACATATTGATCGAATTAATTGAATATCTTTGAAAACTTAAAACAACTTTCACAAATTTTGAGATGCCAAATAAGATTGATAGGTAGGGAAAAAGAAGTAAATATTAAGACATATTGATCGAATTGATTGAATATCTCTGGCGCGTGTAATACATGCGCTTGTTGGGTGCATGTAATGCATGCGCTCATAGTCGGAGCCAGAGGGGGGGCAGGGGGGTCAGCTGCCCCCCCCTCCCCCCTCACCCCACCCCACCCCTACCCTATATTGTATATAATATGTATATATAGTACATTATTAATATAAGTATTATAAAATAGATTATGTAAACAAAAGCTATGATAGATAAGGTGGTAGCTAATGTATATAAGTTTCAGAATGGCCTGGGTTTGAGTTTTTGCATTAACAATGTTACAATCTTCTTCACTTTTTCGACTAACACAATTAAGTTTTGGCATGATATATATAACTTCCATTATAACTTTCTTTATATTAATAATGGAATGTGTAATTTATAATGTGTTTTATATTCGAATTGTTTTATCAAATTAATTATGTTTCATATTTTGTTATAAATATTTTTATAAAGTTTTAATATGTTTTATTTTTCGCTATATCCAACAATATTTATTGTTATACTTCTTAAGTATTTCATTTTTTTTAAACTTTCTCTTTTATTTTAATTTTTTCCCCTCACTAAAAAAAAAAATTTGAATCCGCCATTGAATCCATCCCTACTTCTTTGTCCCCCCTCAACATATTTTCTGGCTCCGTCCCTGCATGCGCTTGTTGGGCGCGCTAAATGAATTACGTTTTTCTTTCTGTGAGTGGGTATCAAAAAAAAAAAAAAAAATCATTTACAGTATTTTATTCCTTCTCTCTATTCCACCTACTTTAAAATAATGTTTTTTAAAAAATTACAAAAAAATTTTATTCGGATTGCTCTTACGATAAAATCGACTAATTTATGAGTAGTTAAATTTTAGAATCACGTTATAAGATAAACATCAGGAGTAAAATTGGACTGGGATTTTTTCCCGTGGAATCCAAAATGAAAGAAGGATGACAAGAATGGAATCAATCGTTATGCTGTGCATCCGTATGCACCATGCATGGTGCATACGGATGCCAAAACGATGTCGTTTTATTAAAAAACGCGCGTTTCCCCTTTAAAAAAAATTCAGGTTCGATTCCCAGTAACAACATTATATTGTTCATTCATTCTGGAATTTTAGTTCATAAATTATGGAATTATAGTTTATAGATTATGGAATTATAGTTCATCGATTATGGAATTGTAGTTCATCGATTCTGAAATTTTAGTTTATAGATTATGGAATTTTAGTTCATTCATTCTGCAATTTTTAGTTCATAGATTAGATTATGGAAT